TTTATTAATTTTAATTATTTTTTAAAATTGTGATTTGGGTAAAAGTTTACACATTTCATGACATTGACAGGTCTCTTCCCACTTCCTCCCATTGTTACCTTTTCCTTGTGTCCTTTCTTAGCATTCCTGACATCTGAGCTATTAGCTTGTGGAAATACTGCCCTTCTGATTTCCCATGGTTGATTGTTTTAGGTAGTGTAGCTATCTCATGTGGTTGGTAGTTCACCTTGTAGGCCTATCCGTTGTTTGGCAGAAATTGAAGCCACAAGAGTAAGTTCAATTCCAGGCCTGACATGTGACAAGGAGCCATAGTGTTGCAGATGTTTCTACATCATTTTTAATAGCTTTATAGTATTTCATTATGGATGAAAACTATTTGCAGCTTAAGTTATACTCTTAAACATAGATAGTATTTCCAGGTTTTAGCTAAAATAACCAGAGATATGGGCCATATTTAAAAAAAAAGGTAGAATCACAAGACTTTGTATACCATTAACTATTCATAGAAAGAGAAAAGCAGTTGTGTATGATGGTTTTATACTTGAATGAGTAAATGGAGTTAAAACATTTGGCTAATAACCAAAATGTTGGTAGTTTAAGCCCACCAGTTGCTCCTTCTGACAAACATGAGGTAGTCTACTAAAAAAAAAAAAAAAGTGAAAAAGGACTTACATTCTTAGAACCCCTATGTACCACTCTTCTGTGGGCTGGAATCTACTCTGCTCTGTGAGTTGGAATGACTTGTTGGCAGTGAGTTTGGTTTGGTTATTATTTAATGTTCACATAGACGTATTTAGTAAGTAGAAAATGAGATTTTGAGCTTAGTTTTACACTGCTAATTCTTATGATTTTCCCTCACACAATACCTAGAAAAGTTAAACTTGCTTTCAGGTCATCTTAAAATTTCCAACTCACTTTTCTTGGGGGTAAGGAACTTTCCCAGTGTAAGGACTTTGTTATGTTTCAAAGAGTATGTAAAACTTGATCAGTTTTACTTTTATGCCAACACTTTATTTTCTCTTTGGATTTGTGATTGGAACTAGCTTTCTTCCATGAGAAAAAAAATTTCTAAAATAGTGTGGGGCCATGGAAGAAAGAGACCTTGGAATCACTCTTTGAATCAGACAGGGATTCAAATTTCAGTTTTATTAGATGTGTGTAAGAGGCAAGTCCTTTAACTTCAGTTCTTCATTTATCCTTAATTCTTCTGGTCATTCATTTGTAAAGCTGGAGATTCTGTCTCTTAAGTATTGATTATAGGATACACTCAGCCAGGTACATGACAGTTTCTGACTTTGCCTGGGGTAGCATTTTAGTTACCTGAAATAATCTAGAACATTCAGAGAAGGTATTTGTGGACACGTTAGTGGATTTTGAACCTTGGATGTAGCAAAGATTGGTTTAAAAGATCTTTGATTTAGGAATAATTTAAAGTGGTGTTCCTCCAACCATTCTCATGGAAGCAAACTACAAAACGAATTAGTTTCGTTTTCCCTATTACTCTAATCATGTGTGTAGATTTCGCACCATTCAACATTTTGTTAAAGGCTGTAAAATCCTCTGGTTATTCTCCATCAAGAGCAATGTTGTTGTCGTTATGTGCCGCCGAGTCGGACCCAGACTCATAGCGACCCGTTTTGGGTTTCCCAGGCGCTATCACTACGTACTAGTATATTACCCAACCTTCCTTACGAGCAGGGGTGGTGGGTTTGAACCTCCATCCTTCTGGTTAGCAGTCAAAAGCCTCAGGCACTACGCTACCAGAGCTCCCTCAAGAGCAATAGGGGTACGAAAAGAAAACATTTGAGATGGCTGGGGGAAGATATATTAAATGAGGTGAAACCAGAACCCTAACTCTGTCAGTGGCTGCTAGCGGAGTACAATTTCGTTACAGACTTGCTTTCGTGATCTATATGTCTCTAGATTTTAGTAATTCTCATCGCATGTGAGCCTATTTACCAAGTTACAGACTTTCAAGTGACAACGTGGGTGGCTCTTAAAAGAGCCTTTGGGTCGTTAGCGCAATTATGCAGGTGGCACGCTTACTTGGAGCTGGTATACTTGGTGACAGCCTTGGTGCCTTCAGACACGGCATGCTTGGCCAATTCCCCCGGCAGCAGCAGGCGAACGGCCGTCTGGATCTCCCTGGAAGTGATGGTCGAGCGCTTGTTATAATGCGCAAGACGAGATGCCTCACCTGCGATGCGCTCAAAGATGTCATTGACAAACGAGTTCATGATGCCCATGGCCTTGGACGAGATGCCAGTGTCCGGATGGACCTGCTTCAGCACCTTGTACACGTAAACAGAGTAACTCTCCTTGCGGCTGCGCTTGCGCTTCTTGCCATCCTTTTTCTGGGCTTTCGTCACCGCCTTCTTAGAACCCTTTTTCGGAGCAGGTGCGGACTTAGCTGGCTCAGGCATTATTGAGGAAAGATTTACACCACGAGAAACCAAAACGAAACTGCGTAGGGCTAACGCCCTTGTTATTTGTTAGGTGCATATGCAAATTAGGAATTGCAGTGATACAGATGCTGATTGGCTGTTTCTATTTCATTACATCGTAATAGGCTTTTCTTTTCAAACTCTCATTGGCTCTTCCCTTGTTCAACCTAAAATAATTTGACCTTTCAACAAGGGCCGCTTTATGCAAATAAAGTTGTTTAGCTCTACATTTTGATTGGTTCACATTTGTATTCAGCCAATAGCACAGGCCATTTTACTAAACTACCGTAGAGTATAATAGGCTAGTTGCTACCAAGTCAGACCACTTAGTCTCATTTTCGCAGACACTTTTTCGGCTCTTTTGCTCTCTTCGTCGCTATGTCTGGACGCGGGAAGCAGGGAGGTAAGGCTCGTGCGAAAGCCAAAACTCGTTCTTCCCGGGCTGGACTTCAGTTTCCGGTTGGCCGTGTGCATCGTCTTCTTCGCAAGGGCAATTATTCCGAGCGAGTTGGGGCCGGCGCTCCCGTGTACCTGGCGGCGGTGCTGGAGTATCTGACCGCTGAGATCCTGGAGCTGGCGGGCAACGCCGCGCGCGATAACAAGAAGACGCGTATCATCCCGCGCCACCTACAACTGGCCATCCGAAACGATGAGGAGCTCAATAAACTGCTAGGCAAAGTCACCATCGCGCAGGGCGGTGTCTTGCCTAACATACAGGCAGTGCTGCTGCCTAAGAAGACCGAGAGCCACCATAAGGCCAAGGGCAAGTGAAGTAACGACGACAGTGTTCTGAGCTAGCCGTATTATCCAAAGGCTCTTTTCAGAGCCACCCACCTTTTCACCTAAAAAGGTTGTAACCAACCATTTCTAAGCATCGAATAAGTTTTAACACATTAATACCCTCTGTTAGCTCACTAATTGAATGGAGTCCGAGGTATTGTAGCTGGGAAATAGTAAAGGGAAAAACAGGTTTCCACCAAAAAATGCTGGGTTTTGCAAATAAAGTTTTTGGGAATATAGCGGGAAGGAAACCCGTTTCGGAACCATTTACAAAGCCACTTATAAAACCTTGTCGGGCGGAATCTCAGCAGGGATGTAAAAAGAAAGGAACAGCCTGTTTATTAAAAATCCATTTTTGAGACAAACTTGTTCACTCAGCGGAAGGGAAAAGTGGGAGCGGTTGAATGGCAGGTCATTAGGATCCAATGTAAAGGAGAAAGCAACAGGACTTTTGGCAAACAAAGTAATCTCCAGCTTTTCAAATTCTGGGCTAAAGTAAAACATTTCGGCGAAGAGGGAAGGCAAATAACATTTGCTCACTTCGGTGCTAGGCACACCTGGGCCAGCACTTTATCCGTGTTTCTCTGGTATTCCCCCTAGGAACCCTGCCATATACGTTAAAAGTTTCATAGGACATAGGAAGTGGCAATCCAGACGACCTGAGCTTTAACGCATAAAAACGATATGACAGAAGAAAAAATATAAGTAAATGTGTTCTCAAAGCATGGTCCTCGGAATCTGAGTTCTCACTACAGTCCTAATGAGTCATAGCTACCATCTTTCTAAGAGCTCCATACAGTTTACTATGGACAGTACAGTTTGAGAAGCGCATAACTAAAACAAATACCAAAAAACACAAACTCCCTGCCATCGATTCTTAGTGACCCCTCCTTGAGTTTCCAAGGCGGTATCTCTACGGAAGTAGATTGCTCAGTCTTCCTTCCGAGTGGTCGATGAATTTGAACCTTTAGCCTTCGGGTTAGCAGTCAAAAGCCTCAGGCACTACCCTACCCGAGGTCCTCTTTTGGATGACAGGCAAACTAAAGGCAGAGAGGATAGGAGTATGAGGAAAGTTATCCAATCAGAGCCTCCGGTTACTGACCAATCAAGTCTCTCATTTTTCAGCCAATGGTTTTAGCGCGCGGGACTTTTGAAAAGTAGTCAGGCCAATCAGAATGTTGCTGAGTATATATAAAGGTAAATTCTCCCAGCTAGAGTACGGTCACTTACCCGTCTCTGTAAAATGGCCAGAACCAAGCAAACTGCTCGGAAGTCTACTGGCGGCAAGGCGCCACGTAAGCAGTTGGCCACGAAAGCAGCCCGTAAAAGCGCGCCGGCAACCGGCGGTGTGAAAAAGCCACACCGTTACCGTCCAGGCACGGTGGCGCTGCGGGAGATCCGCCGCTACCAGAAGTCCACTGAACTGTTGATTCGTAAACTGCCATTCCAAAGGTTGGTTCGCGAGATAGCTCAGGACTTCAAGACTGACCTTCGCTTCCAGAGCTCTGCGGTAATGGCGCTGCAGGAGGCGTGTGAGGCCTACCTGGTGGGGCTCTTTGAGGACACCAATCTGTGCGCTATTCACGCCAAGCGCGTCACCATCATGCCCAAGGACATTCAACTGGCTCGCCGCATCCGCGGGGAGCGGGCATAGTTTTTCTCATACCCACAACTCAAAAGGCTCTTCTCAGAGCCACCCACATTCCACGAAAGAAGCTGTGTACTTGGCTTAATGTATATGGGTCTGTAGTAGAAAGTATGAAGTGAAGGTTTTTTTCTGAGCCTTGATTTGTACTACCGGACTTAGAAGCTTTGGACTCTACAAACTGGTAGGTTGGGCAATAGATTTCTCACTCTGGAAGTTGTGCTGGTGGAAAGTGCAATGAAAATAAAAATGCAGAGTGGTTTTACCGGGTAATGGGCCTGCTTCGTTTTCTGTCTAGCTGGTTTGGGAAGGGACTTGGAAGTTTGGAATATTTGGTAGCGTTTGCTGCCTAGCAAGAGCTGAGTTCATGTGAAGAATGACATTAGGGGTGTATTAGCAGTTAACGCCTGAAGCTTTGTTCCCGCTGGTTGGGTTATTGACTGGAAGAGACTTGAAAGCATTTGTACATCTTGGTTTTCCTCATTATATTACCATGTCTGAAACTTGATTTCCATCTCTATGAAGTTTAAATAAGACAGTGTTTGGTTTTTCCATGACGTAAGTTAACACACAATACAAATTGCTTTGTCAATAGTTCATTTTCCATCCAAACAATCTGGCCACTCAGTTTTTTAATCAGAACCCAGACTCCTGATGGTTCCCTACTCTTGCTATTCAAAGTGTTACCCATAAACAGCATCAGCATCACCTGGGACCTAGCTAGAATGTAGAATCTTAGGCCCCACCCCAGACCTGCTGAGTCAGAATCAGCATTGCACCAAGCTCACCTGAGGTGATTCTCATGAACACTATAAGAAACCTGTTTTTGTTACGTATTTTAAGTCTCATCAAGAAAAGCAGGCTGCAACTAAACTCTTCTAGTTCTTGCAAACTATATACTTTTGTAATAGTATATATTACTTTTGTAATAGAATGAAATGTAATCTAAAGTAAGTGCAAGTCACAAGGAGACCCTAAGACAATTTTGTTTTCAGCTCTGGTAGAATAGTGCCTAAGGCACTTGACAGCTAACCAGAAGGCTGGTGGTTCAAACGGCACCAGCCACTCCGTGGAAGGAAGATGGGGCAATCTACTGTAGTGATACTGCCTTGGAAACCCAAGGAGGGGTCGCTATGAGTCCGGTCTGACTCGGCGGCCCATAACAACAGCAACAACATACGTCGGCAGTCTTCTCTACATTGACTGCATGCATATGTTAGTTACTTGGGTAGCTTTTCTAAAAAAACAATTTTTTAATTGTTTTTTGCATAGAATTTTTGAACACTTTAAAAACTTACGCCTAAGTGTTTGGTCTTTTATGTTACTATTGTAATTTCCATTATGTCTTTTAAGTATTATTTTTATAAATGAAGGTTAGTTACTTTTTTTTTTTTCCAATTTGTATCTATTTTTTAAATTGACTTGGCTGAAAATTTACAGAGCAAATTCATTTTCCATACAGCAGTTCATACACATTTTGTTTTATATTGTAACAGCTCTCTTCACACTTCTTCCTTGTGGTTACCCTTTCCCTACGTCCTTCTTTCCTAAGGCACTTGACTGCTGACCAGAAGGCTTGAGCTTCAAACTCACCAGCCACTCCTCGGAAGGAAGATGAGGCAATCTACTTCCAGTAATGATAATGCCTCAGAAACCCAAGGAGGGGTCGCTATGAGTTGAGTCCAACTCGACAGCACATAATAACTTCTTTCCTATGGCTTCCTGCTTCTGAGCTATCACCTTGAACAAATAGTGCCCTACTGATCTTCCATGACTGATTGTTCTAAGGAGTCTACCTGCCTGGTGTAAATGTTCACCTTATTTACTTGTCTTTTTTTGGCTGGAAGCCATGGAAAAAAATCCATTCCAGAATTTCAATTCCAGGCCTGAAGGGTGACTAGGGCACTTGGGTAGCTTTTATAAAAATACCTTTGCCTAGGGCCCAATTAGGACCAATTTAATCCAGTGTGAGGGTGGGCCCAGATAATAATAATAATATAGTAATACCTCACTGCTGTCAAGTTGATACTGACTCAGTGACCCTCCTTGGGTTTCCCAGGCCGTATCTCTATGGAAGTAGATTGCCCAATCTTCCTTCTGAGAAGTGTGGCTGGTGGATTTGAACCCCTGCCTTCTGGTTAAGTCAAATGCCTTAGGCACTACACCACCAGAGCCCAGATAACAGTAATTTTTAATACTCCTCAGGTGCTTCTCACATGCAACTAGGGCCAAGACTTGATGCTACACAAATTGTAAACCTGTGACTAGGTCTGTTTGATTACAGATTTATGAGTTTTCTAACCAAATCATGTTTTCCTTGTAGTTTGCTTGCAGAGAAAATATACTGATCTCTAAGAAAGGATGGTTCTGACTTGCATTATAACTTTATTTCACTGCAAAGACTCAAATGGCTCCCAAATTACAGCAATTTTTGAGGACAGAGCTAGTGGGAGTCTATCCAGAGAGATGGTGCTGCTTTCAGTGACTGAGAATACAGTATCAGGTTTTTTTTTTCTTCAGATATTGTTTTCATTTTTAAAAACTTTTTTTTTTTTTCATTATGAGACATTCAAAATATATGAATGTAGAGAGAATAGTATAAATAAACCTTATATACCCCTCACCCAGCTTCAAAATCATCACTGGCCAAATATGTTTTATCTACATCCCTTTCACTTCAAAGCACATCATATGAGTTCATCTCTTAAAATTGAAACGTATATCTAACATTTTAAAACCTAATTATTATACCATCATTACTCCCTTCAAAAACAATAGTGTTTCTTTTCCATCAATGAATTTTAAGATTTACTTATTCCACCATACATTTGAGAGTTCACAATGTGCCAGGCATGGTTCTGTGCATTGGGAATATGCTGGGGAACAAAAAAGACAAAATGGTCTGCTTTCTTTGAATTCACATTTAATTCTGTGATACACAGGCAATAAAACAGATGAGTAAATAATATATACAGGATGATAGAGGATGAGAAAGAGAAAAATAAAGCAAGAATAAGGAGTGTCTAGAGTTGAAATTTTGAAAAGGTAGCCAATGAAGACCACACCAAGATAATAATATTTCTATAAAGACCTGAAAGAAATTAAGAGACCCACATCCTTTGGGATGTATGTGTGGAGAAAAGGTTAAGAGAGGGGTGAGGTACCAGGGTAGCTATGTGGAATGAGCAGGGAATAACAGAAGATGAAAGCTAAGAGATAAAAGGAAGCCAGAACATGTAGGAGCTTGTCGGCCACTGTAAAGAATTTGGCTTTTCTATAAGTTCATGTGAATGATCAGAATTCCCAGGTGTATAGTAGAGCTGACAAGGGGCAAGGTTATGGTCATTATTTAGTCACAGCCAGCTACCCAGGGGGACCGAGTAGTTGATCCTGCGGGCTTGGGACCATAGTCGCAGGGGACATCAAGCTCAATTCGCATAACATACTATACAAAACATTGTTCCACCTACTACTTTGGCGAGTAG